TGAATGGTTGCTGAGTACTAACTATCATGCCATATTTTCTGCATTAAAAATCTTGATGATGTAACTTAATATATTTTGATTCATCCCCATATTGTTGCAGTATACTTAAACATTGCAATGTCAGTACAGCATATGGCCTTGATTAGTGATAAGTCATGGATTGGCAATATCAGTTTGTAAAACAGACTTGTATTTGGATGCAGTTATATATCCTCCTCTGTGTCTGAACCAGAAATGGAAAATAGCCCGAGATCTTATAGCCAATTCAAGGGCTTCTAATTGTTCTTAGATACACTGATTTTTGACACTTCTTCAAAATATTTTGTGAGCTCTAGATAATTTAATTTACTAATGTTTGCATCATACAGAGTAATTACAGAAATTGGAAGGTTACTTCAACTTGCTGGCACATATTGACTTAAATTATGGAACAATGATTAAAACAGATGGTTTGTCTTTCAATATCTGTTCAAGGAAAGAGTAGGAATCACACATGTTGCCGTTACTGGTAACTGCTTTGTAGATGTGTTACATGTAAAGTTTTTAAGCTGAGTTTTAGGCTTTTTGGAATCTACAAGTTATATTGACCAGTTATCAACACTTCTTCCAGCAGATGCAGTCAAAATAAGAAAAAGTTATAAGCATCCAAGTATGTATAGAATTTCATGATTTTGTGAGTTAAACTACTGGTGAAATGAACAAGATACTTATAAATAACATGATATTCCAATTCTGGGAGCTGATCAGGTTTTAACAATTCATCAGCATGAATAGTCATCCAGTCCACCTGTGGATTAATGTATGAATCTCAAACAATAGGATCATAAATATAAAGATATCACAACTTAATTTCATAAGCGACTTTGGTATACTTTTTGAGAATAAAAGTTTTCTTCTCTAAGCTTCCATCACTACAGTTGTCACAAAACAAGGTACAGCCTGATGTCAAAATTGCTGGTAATGATGTTGCCCTTCCCAGAAGTATAGAAAACTCCATTATGTGTGTGTGGGGGTGGGGGGGGGGGGGGGAGGTTCAGTCAAACTGCATCAATGTTACAAGTTTTAGGACCTTTAGATGAAGGAATGTTAAATAAGTCACTTAAATTTACTTATGATATTGAGGTTTGGTTGTTTCTATCTGTAAGGAGAATCCTACTGCTTTACAAAAGGATTTATATTATTTGGTGAGTTGGGAAAATAAATGGCAGATGGCATTCAACTATAATAAACATAAGGTAATAAATGTGGATTATTATAATATGAATTATAATTTTGATGAGTATATATTTAACATTGTTGTGAAAGAAAAGGATCTTGGTGTTCTGGTATTAAGTCTAAAACCATCAAGCAATATGCTGTTGTTAATGGAAGGGCAAATAAGATTTTAGGTTTTATCTACAGAAATACTGAATACAAGTGTAAAGAGGTTATAATGTCATTGGTTAGGCCACATTTGGAGTGTTGTGTTCAGTCTTGGGCTCCTTATCCTAGGTAGAACATCCATTATTAGAAAGAGATCAGAGGCTACAAGGATGATATCTAGGATGGAAAGGTTGTTATACAAGGACAGGTTAAGATCTCTGGAATTGTTTTCCCTTGAAAAGAGAAGAGTTAGAGGAGATACAATTGAGGTTTTTAGCAATTTTAAGGAAAATGAGTGTTGATGCATCATTTCTTTTCATACTGAATGGTGAAAATGGTAAGACTAAGGGACACAAAAATAAATTTTGGCAAAGTAGGAGTCACCTTCAACTCAGACAATTTTATTTTTCTAACAGGATGGTTGGTTTTTTAAACTGGTTGTCTGGTAGATTCAGTAAATTTAAGGAAGTTTAAATGAAAGCTTGGTAAAAATTTTAATGATAGGGTTTGCTTTGAGTTTTAATTTCTTTTTTCTTACTGGTTGGGATGATCTAGATGGACAAATAGGTCCCTTGTTATCCTTAAATTTTATGACTTATGTTATTAGCAAATATCATTCAGGTTCAAAATTGATTTTAACATTATCTGCAGGTGCAGTATTAACAAGTCATAACACTGATTACATAATCAAAATGAAAAGTGTTTAATGTGAATGCCTATAAACATTATCTGGAACATATAGATGTATAACCCCACACCTAGAAAACAGTTAAAACGTGTAATTAACAGCCAAAAAAAAATCAAGCAAGATGAAAGTTTTCACATGATACCCAGTTTTCATACATTAATATGAGCAATGATATTAGTATTGAAGTCTAAAAAACAGCTGATAACAAATTGTCTGATATTCACAATAGTTAAATCAAAATCAACCAACATACGACCTAACCAAGTAAGTATGTGGAAGAATGTTAAAACACAGATAAAAGGGCATGGTTGAAAACAACAAAGGTTAACATTTTCTTTACCTGAAAATGTATTTCCTTTCTGCACACCTCCTGTCATGGAAGATGATCTGAATTGGAACAATGGTTGTGGGCAGAAAATGACCCATCTCCTTCTCAAGGCACTCATGTAGGAAAGGAAACAGTAGTCACAGAACAAAAGAGAGTAAGATTTGTGGAACAAAGTTGGGGAGGCATATAAGGCATGAACATTAGAATGGTGACTCAAGCCAGAAGGAGAAGGAAAGAAGCTTTCAAGGAAAGGTGAGATGGCTAAAGGTTTAAACAGGGTGTGGACAATCCCATATGTGAAAATGTGAAGAGATGATACTCTCAACTGAAAGAGTAACATAGAAGTTTAAAGCAAGAGGAACCTCAATGATGGTAGAAGAATAGGTGCCCAAGATGCCAGTTAGTTGAGAAGAGGAAACTAAGACAGAACTGGCCAATAAGGTGTTACCAACAAGACTTGACAATGATTGTAGGGGAACATCACCAAGATAAGAGAGAAGGCAGATAGCATGCAACACATACAGAAAAGACCAATACAGGCTGAAGGTGCTTACAGTCCAAGCAGCTGGATGTGGGATAACAGATTAAAATAGCTGAGGTGACCAGACTCCATGACTTACAGATGAAATGAAGAAGGATGAGATGAGAAAAGGACTACAAGGTAGATCAAATATAGTGTCAGAATAAGGAACAACCAAAAAAATAAGACCAGTTACCCCAGATGAACAACCTCTCAGAGAAGAAGGGATGTGGCTGTAGAAAAGGTCTATCTATTAGAAGCCAAAATTAGACAAACATTCAGAAAAGAATGGCTGGATGAAGACATAAGGAGCAAAAGCCATGTCAAATGGTAAAGCCTGTACTGTAGTAAACAAACCACAAGAAATATTGTGGTAATGGGATGGAATGTTAAGAAAGGCATCCAAGACATGATATCCCCAAAGGCTGGGGGAAAACAACCTATGAAGAGGAAGAAACCCTTTCATTTGAGATTGGGATGTCATCAGAAGTGGTTCAGAGAAGAATTATGATGAAGGGATTTCAATCCTTGGTATTAATGTGGACAATGAAGAGATGGTAATAGTAACATGGAAAGAAGCAGTGACTCTCTCTATAGCATTCAAAACCAAGAGCTCTGGCATTGTGTCCTTGAGGAAGTGGAGATACTGAGGATTGGAAGGCAGAGGAAAACAATGGGAAATAAAAGAAGTGAACAGAGACAATTGTTAAGAGCCTGAGTGACCCAACGGTAGGCCATGAAGTGAATCCACAGGTTAGGAAAGTAAAAAAGAGTTTGCTTGTAATTACACACAAAGCTACACAATAGGCTATCTGTGCTCTGCCCACCACAGGTATCAAAACCCAGTTTCTAGTGGTGTAAGTCAGCAGACATACCACTGTGCCACTCGGGGGCAAGAAGAAAAGAAGTATCCATGTAGGACCTGAGCTTAAATGGTACAAAGAGAGGTAGCCACTGGCAGTACAGACGAAAGCTAGCCCTAAACTACAGGGAATAGCAAGACAAGGGAGATGGGCTGGAAGAGGAAATGTGCGAGAGAATAATGATACATGGGCCAAGGAACATGAGAGGATGCATAAGAATGGGCGAGATAGGAGAGTAAAGAAGTAAGAGAAAATTGATGTCAAGCAACTTCCACCCTAGACTCCAAGGTGAGAGAAAGACCTCATGACAAATGAGTGAAGCAAGATGAAAGCCATGTATGAAGGACTAAGGAAGATGAAAGAGAGAAAGTAGTGTCACATCTGATACATCTCAAATACACAGAAACCATGTGAGGAAAGAGAGAGCCAATGATGATACCCTGGCCTAAGAAGGAAAAAGAATTGGAAAACTGTCTGGATCCCAGTGGAGGACCTTGCAGATAAGAAGAAAATAGATAGCAAAAGGACAGAGCAAAGAGAATGTGATTTTGATGTTGGGAGAAGTGAACCTTAGTAAGGAATATTGGAGACAGTGGGTCAACCTCCAAGTAAGCAAAATGAATTCAAAGGACTGAGGATCCAAGAAGGTGAAAGGGGAGGAACCATAATTCATGTTAAAGGAGTTGTGGAAATGAGGAGGCAGGGAAGAATGGGAATGATGTTGAGAAAAAGATCAGGTAAAGGTGGAAAGAATAAAAATACAGCATGAAAGCATGGAATAAAGATCCTGAAAAAACAAGTGACATTGGAAAAAGTGAAAGTATAGTATAAACCTGACACAATAAGCAGAGAGAGAAGAATGATGTGTTCTTCAACAACAAATAATGAGGCCATAAAATATGAAGTAGTGGAAAGAACTGGACAAAAACACAACCTCGTGGTCAGGCTCAAGAATGGAAAATGCATGGTAAATAGAGGAACTGAGAAGCAAGGTAAAATCAATTAATGGTGAAAAAGTGGCAGTAACAATTTCCACAGAAAAAAAACTTCCAGCAGCTGTAGATAAGACAGAAGCTGTGAACTGCTATACATGAGAGAAAACTCATTATATAAAACAGATCACTTGGTTCAGTCCTGCTTTATTTTTTAACATAAGGTTCACATTATATTATCTAACAAAACTCTCACTTCCCGAAGCCTAACATGAAACAGTACTGATTTCATCATTTAATGTCTTACCAGTTGCATTCCATTTAATTCATCAATTAAGGTCATATTGCCAGAAACTATTTTTTTCAATGATTTGTCAAACTCTTTCAGCTGGTCCAAAGTTTCATTTTTGGTTTCTTCATATTCTTCAGGGTCCAACTCTTCCCTAAGCAAGTAGAATAGTTTAAAGTTTTTATACAAAGTGTAGAGTACAAATAAATCATCATCAGCAAGTTTATCAGTACATACACATAACACAAGAATACTGTTCTTAGCTTGACTGCTTTTGAAATGTCAAAGTCAAAACAGCATGAAATAGGTATTTTGTAATAAAAAAATGCTTTAAGCAAACTTTCCAAATCTACTATGATTGTCGGAAAAGAATAATCAGAATTATTATATATCCTTCAATTTTCTGAGAAATGTTTTGATTGTCAGTAAATAAATAAAATAAGGCCTTAGAGGGTGTTTCAATAGCATTAAATCTATGTACTTTTAATGTTTATTGTAACACAAGTTAATACATTGAAACATTATTAAAATCATTACAAAAATTCATTATAATTTTTTCCTTTTAAACAATTATTTTCACATATTTTTCTAGGTTAAAACACAATGGGAAATCTTTCTAGATACAGAAAAAATGTATTATGTTGCTTCAAGTATAATCAGTTAAGTTTACCACATTACATAATTACCCATATATATGAAGGACCTAAAGTGTAGCCTTATACAATACTTATAAATGTTAATAAATTGTAATATCCATACAAACATTTCTGTAAATAGCTAACTTTATATGAAAAACATATTGTACTATCACAGTGCTATTCAGCATGTGGTCTTAAATAGTCAGTTTAAGGAAATTATCACACAGAAGACTAATTCTTATATATTTTGCTTTTTTTTCAAACAAATTGAAGTTAGTGCAAAAACAAACCAATTTTATGATGAGAGTTACATCTGTTAAAAAACTATAACAATTTTGCATAGGAGTTACATTTTCACAATAACAAAAGAAAAAACACTCACAATTTTCACTATGGTAATGTTAAACTACTATGTGCAATCTTTACCTTATGAAAAGTGTGCAACTTTACAGCTTTTATTACTGTTATATATTCAGATATTCTCTTTAAAAGTATATTTTGTAACTATTAAAGATATAGTTTGTGCAAGTTTAGATATACATTTATAACATGGTGCACTGTAGCAGTGAAAGAACAGATACTACTTACTAATTATATTGATTACAGGAACAAAGGAAAAACACTTTAATATCCTGTTTTTCATGTATTCAATTAATATATGAAATCCTTAACTTCTTTTATCACATTTTCAAAGAATAATTGGTATCATGAAACTGAAAACAAAATGGCTTAAAAGAAATTTATAAATCAACCCAAAGTTCTTATAAATTAGTAGCAGAAGCATCATCATGAGCTATATGTATTATCACTAATTAAATAATATATTTCAAATCATGCAAAGTTTGCAATAATCACTAATGACAGCCAGGGAAACTAAAGATTCTATGACTTTGGTATTTTTCTTACTTGCATTCTTCTAGGTCTGCTAGCTGGGCCATCAGTCGATCTAACTGTTCCTCAAGATTGTGTTTTAGCTTATCTGTTTCACTTCTACCTCGTGATGTCATTTCTGCATTGGATAGATTTACAAAATCATACCCTTAAATACAGACATAAAAACATTCAAGAACAAGCATTTAAACTCGATAGCAGTAAACATCCTGCAAATAAAGCTAAAATTTTGTTTTACTGGTTTCATCATTATGTTTGTACTCTTTATGTTGACTCTAAGTCCAACAGTTAGTGACAACTTTGTTAGTAACACAAAATTAGCATCTATTTTGGTAAAGACTACAAGGAGTTTATTACAAATTAGTATATTTTACATATTCAACCTAAGATAAATATAACATATGGACAAAGCATAATTTGGTCCTTCATGGCTGTCCTTGCACACCCACTTTTCAGAAAAATAAAACTTAAATCCATTCTTTATTTTTCATTGATTCCTCTCTTTCATCTTTGTAAAATGCTGGCCTCTGCTATTGTCAATGGAAATTCATTCTATAAGCCAAACAACCTGTTATAAAAATAAAACCGTCTTAACTTAAGCATAGCCTGATTTTTTCCAGATCTTAAACTTATGCTTTCTCATCCTATTATCTTAAGAATAAAGTGCAAAAAAAGTATTGGCCTTTACCGATTCAATTTTCCAGATAATGTTGTAAACTTTAATAAGATCACACCTTACCTTTCTTTTTAGAAGTAAAATTAAGCTGAAATCTTAAACTGTTCCAGTAGAATAACCTTTTTATCCCTCAAATCATTCTCGTAGCTCTCCTCTAAATCCTTTCCAATAAGTTTATATCCCTTCTTAAATAAGGAGACCAAAACTTTCTATTAACTTTACTAATATCAACAGAGCATTGCTTTGATGACTTGTGTGACTTATCAACCACTAAACCAAGACCCTTTTCTTCAGTTATTATATTAAGTGGGTTCCAATTTACATCAAATAAATGATCCAAACTATGATAACCTAAGTGTATTACCTTGTACTTACTATAATTAGAGGTCATTTACCAAATATATGTCCAACCTAACCATAAATAAATGAAGTCCACATCTTTTATACTGTTCGGGTAACATGTTCAAAAAAAAAAAAAAGATAAGAGAGTAGTAAGACAAGACTTCTATTGGGAACATACTATTTGAGGAATAATTACATTACAAATCCATACTTCCTACTGCTAATAACTAAATTTTTTTTAAAAATAATTATGCAAGGGAAACATAAAATGTACAAAAATGTAAAATTTCAAAACTAAGTTTTAATCATCTGTATAAAACCTAGGTCTACAAAGTTATCTTCACAAAGATTAAGTTACTGGCTTCATTAGAAGGCGCTTGAATCTTGAGAATTGTACACCTGGAAGGTAATGATTGATTAACAATGCAGCTTTGGAAATTTACTCTAAAGAGTTAGTAAGAATCAAGACATATCATTTTCCAGAATATTTCTTCTGAGATACTATGATACATCAAGAGCTTAAATATTCATACAAACATTTTCTTGACAGAATATTTTTCTCTCATTCTAGTTTAGAGAAGACTGCTTTTTTTTGGCATATAGGGGGAAAACTACTGAACAATCATCAAATGTTCCTCATTTTACAAATAAGTGAGACCATTGCTTCTCTAGTTCCACTGTTATCAGGTGTACTACCAAATTTTGAGTTTGCAATTTAATGATTTACCAATTCAGATAAATATAATTTTTGTAACCGCAACTTACTTTGAAAAAAAAAAAGTTCTTCTTAGGCCTAATAAAAACTACTTGAATGAATGTGTGCCACTTTTTGAGAAACTACTTTAAACTTCCCCAAACTAAATTGAATATTCAGGTTAATTTAATTGAGAATATTTCTTCTGAAATAAAAACACATAACAGTTAACCCTGAATTTTGTAAAGGTACCCTATAAAAGTCTAAATTAATACCTGAACATAGATGCTTAAATGTTAATATTGTTGCGTCTCCGTTTGTTAATTAACTTTCCGTAACTTCGTTCCGACGAAACTTTAGTGACACAAGTCCTTACTTAATAAAACTGGTTTACTCTTCCTGAATATAACTTCACGATACACTTGATTTCAACAATCACGCTAAAACAAACGTTAACTTCAACGATACTTTCTCACTGCAGATCAATTACTCACTACCTACACACACACTGTTATCCCGTCACATTATCACCCTCTTTTATATACCAGACTACCCTATATCTAGTAAATGCTAGAGCATTCGCCAAGGTACAGGATAGTTCTAGAAACGTGGCATGACACTAGTCATGTGACCTCGCTGACGCAACAATATCTTTAACATAACACAAAATTTAAGATCAACATGAGACTTCTTGGTCCATCTAGGATGTCCCATCCACTACACTAAGTTTTATAACAACCTTAAAACCAGCCCTTATCATTTAAATACTTATCATGCTTTCCTTTGAACTACCACAAATTTAATGCATCAACCACATCTGAATGCAATCCATTCAAATGGCCAACCATCCTGTTAGAAAAATAAAACTTAAAACTTAAAAATGACTCCTAACCTATCAAAATGTATATTTGTGTCCCTTAGTCCTACCATTAAGTAAGAAAGAAAAATGATGATCCATCACATCATTGAGTCCCTTAACAATCTTGAACACCTCAATCAGATCCCCTTTAACTCTTCTTTTTCAAGAGAAAAACAATTTCAGAGACCTTAACCTATCCTTGTATGACAGACTTTCCATCCAAGATATCATCCTAGTAAGCCCTCCTCTGAACACTTTCCTATAATTCAGTATATCTTTCATAAGGTTAGAAACCAATGACTGAACATAATACTCCAAATGAGACCTAATCAGTGACCTATAAATGAACTTATAACCTCTCTAGACATATATTTATTATATCCCTAGATGCAACCTGAAATCCTATTTACCCAACCACTAGCAACAGCATACTGCTTGGATGACTTAAGAGACTTATCAACCAGAACACCAAGATCCTATTTTTCCACAAGAAGATTACCTTACTAGTTTGCCAGTTCTTCTAAATCATAATAATTTTAACTTGAAATAAAATAATAAAGATAAATAAATAGTATTAAGTAAATAATGTCATTAACCCTTACCCTAATAATCTGATTTGTAAATGACTTTAATACAATTAGTAATTATTACAATTCATTTACTTTATAAAGTAGTCACGTTCACGAAAAATGGCGATATAAACAGTGCCAAGACCACTATTATGTCTATTGTACATAGCTGATCTTATGTGGCCTGAGTTTGGGTGAAAGGCCTTGTTGGTACTTAATATGACAGATGTAGTGTAGTTGACATCTAACATTTTTCTCTGCCTCTATTCATAACTACAGTTAAGTTTATTCCCATAAAAATTATACTGATAATTCAAATTACGATAGCTCACATATATTACCTAGCATTCATTATAATTGAAAGCCATCTATCATTTATTCATCTAACTCACCAAATAATCTAAATCTTTTTTTAAACTGCAGTATGATCCTTACAGCCAGCAAGAGACAAAACCTTCATATCATCTGCAAATTTAAATAATTTATTGACCATTTCTTCATCTATATCATTAATGTAAATAATAAAAAGCAAAGGTCCTAACAGTAAGCCCTGACCAATTCCACTTGTGACATTAATCCAAACTTCAAGGAACGTCAAAAGATTAGTAAGGCAATAATTTCCTCTGGTGAAACCATGCTGACTATCCAACCAAAATTTTAAACTTTGTTAAATGCCTTTAAAAAGCATCTCTTATCAGACATAAAAAAATTTCCTACCACTGATGTAAGACTAATAGGCCTATAATTACTTGGCCATTTTTATCATATTCGGAGAAAAGAGGAGTAACATTAGTCAACTTCCATCCATCTGGCACCTGCCCACTATTCAAGGCATAACAGAAAGTGGCTCATATATCCAACCCTAAACCTTCTTCAAAACCCTTGGGGAAATATTGTCTAGCCAAGGATCTTTGCCATACTTTAAACTTCCCAGTTTTTACTTAACAAGCTCAGAATTAATGTGATAATCTTGTTCAATCTTGTTTCCATCTAGCATGTAGGCTTGTAAGTTTGATATCAGGAAATGGCCTTTACAGGAACGTAGGTAATAAACTTGTATAAACATTTAGTTGAGTACCATGGTATTTGAAATAGCTTTACATAGCATTAGAAGGATGAATTGTCTATATAAAGTTGAAAACATTTTATTTGGAGAGAAAAACAATAATTTAGATGTGATTGTCAATAAAACATGAAGTTTTCAGTTTACTGTTTAGTTGTCATTAAAAAATAATAATATATATTTATATATATTTTAAATGTTTCAATAGACTTTTGAGACATAATTTACAATATTATGTAAAACTTTTGTAACCTAACTACAGGAAGTATTTGACAAAAGTGCAGCTATGGATTATTAGATATATCTGCTTAAAAAAATTTAGGCCATGAAAAGATGATTAAAACCTTTGGTTTGTTTTCTCTAGTGTAATTAGTTAGATGTGTCTTCATACATAAATTTAAGATTGCCAGAGATCTGAATATTTGAAAACTACATTAAATATGCAGTGGAACAGCCTGTATCAGAACTACATTTTGACACTGTTTGACTTTTCACAGGTAGTGTATTACCACTGAAAATTTATCACACTCTCAGGTCATAAAGATGTGTTCAGATCTGTGGTTTAGAATATGCACGATGGGGATATTCCTTATTCTTAATGACACTGGAAAACAAAGGAATATTGAACAGCTTGAAGCACCAATACCACCTATATAGAGACCTGCATCAAGTCGTATGCCAGTCATGGGAAACAAAGTGCAGCATCTTGTAACAGGTTAAAAACCACTAACACTGGAAAAATGACACAAGCAAGCCAGAAGTGTCACACAAACTACAAAATATCCATTCAACCATCACATATCTCAAGCAGCTTGAATGAGTAGTAAATTCATGCTATTCCATACAAATACATTTTAGTCAAGTTACCAGGTACAATGCCTATAGATTTCTCTGCTATAAGACTGTTGAAATGGGCACTGTGAAGCCATCGTTGTTGTACACTATATGGATTATGGAAAGCCAGCAGGGAGGAGGTTTCCCTTTTGAAATGACAGCCTTATGATGGAGCCTTCCACAAGGTAAACTATGCTGTAGAGCTATTGTCAAGATACACTGTCATCTTATAGAGCAAGACTGGATGTAGTGACAGACATTAACAACATGGTGACATTTCAAAATTGTTTTAATATAACATACTCAATCTTTGTATATAATTCCAAAACCTTAAACCTGTTATTCCTACTATTCAAGATTATATTTAATTCCTTTTTCATTCTTCCACTCAACCATACAATCCACAAGAGACTGTCCAAAACCCTAATACTTTTTAATAACTAAATCAACTCAGTTTTAATTTTTTGAATGTCTTGAGAAGAAAAGTGCAAAATTTTACAAAATACTTTCCTACTAGCTTAGATTAGTTAAATCAGGTGACATTTTGCACTAGCATTTGGCTTGCATGTATACAAGGTTACAAACACATTTGGAATGTGCTGGGGTGTTAGGTTTTCACCTGCCTCTTTCAAAGTGACATTATAACCAGATATTTGTCTTTGCTAAGTAATCCTATTATTTTGACATACTCAAAACAAGATCATCTGGTTTTATCCCAAACTTATCAACTTCATGATTCTTCTCTGGTTACATATAATATTATTGTTCTTAAATTATAAATTACTAGCAATAGAACCAAAACATTTAGTTTTCAGCAGCGCTAAATACTTAATAAAGACTTTAGGGTTTCATCAAAATTACACTTAAATCTTCGTCTTCTACAACATTTAATTGTTCACTTTCATAGTCTTTGTTTAAAATTTCCATATCCCAAGCTATCTTTTATGTTCTTGCCCATGCACTATGGCTGTCACATTCATTACTGTTCAAAAAGATACATCATTCAATGTTGACATATAATTAAACACTTGTTATAAGTTAAATTTCCATGCCATCTTCCATCTGATTCAGGTGTTTAAGATTGAAAAAAAATTAACAGTGTTTATGCATTATCTTTTTTTTTTTCATAATTAATGGTGAGAACAAGAAGAACTAAGGGACACAAAATATAAATTTTGGCAGGTTAGGAGTCATCTACAGCTAAGATAGCTTTATTTTTATAAGAGGGTAGCTGGCATTACAAATTAGCTGCCTGCAGGTGTGGTGGAAGCAGTAAATTTATGGGAGTTTCTGAGAAGGCTTGATGGATATTTTAGTGAGACAGCCTAGATTCACCATCAGGTCCTTGTAAATAAATGATATTATGTTTTAATATCAGAGAGCTAGAACTTTGGGATCAATACTGTTGACAACTGATTAAACATGATTTCTTGTCTAAATAAAATTGCTCAATGTGATGCTCTTCATACAGTGCTTTGTGACACAAATTGATACTTTCAAGTACATTGTTCCTCTCAACAATCTATGTCAAATGAACAATGCATGGTGGATGGAAGTTGTTGACTTTTGGTGTTTGTGTGATAAAGTATAAGAGAATTATGGTTGATCTTTTAATAGTCAATTTATGTTTTCTTCCACAATTTTGTAGAATTATTCTTCAGAAGTTATTATATAGAACTTCCATAAAATGTGAACTTCTTGCATAATTTGGAGTAACCATAAAAAAATACATTATACTCATGTCAGAAAGTGCAATTACTTTACCATAAAAATGCAACTGCCTAGAAAAAGAAATTAAAACAGATCATCATGTTGCATTCTTTAAAACAGGATTTCAAATAACACATGGTATTTGTTACACATAAAACTAATTGCTGTGTGAAATCATAAAACTTAATTTTATTATTTAATACATATATTATAGAACATTATCAAGAAAAATTCAAAGAGTAACAATTATATACATAATTTTGTAACTACATAAGCAAGGGTGTTTTGTACTTCATACTTATCAAAAATGAGCGAGAATTTTACTTCTCTTATTTAATGTAATATTTACTACATTTTACTATCACTGATGATATTAGTAACATTATTACCTATTTTTGAACACCTGCCTAAAAAATTAATCTGAGATTGGAATAAATGTTCCTGTTATATTCTTATAATAGTTTCCTCTTTGACACCACCTACTTCACATAACCTGTATATTGATGATTTAGTCATCCTATGTCATGTAGTCCTACTACTACTAGCAGAATTACTATTAGTAATTATCTCTTTTTCTCTGTTCTCTCTGGTTACGTTGTAATTATAATGATGCCACTGTTATGAGTTACTGTTAATCATACATTTCTGGAAATTTAATATTACTTTTGTAATTTTAATAATGTTATTATTATCAGCTATTTCGTGCCAAGAGAAATGGTTATCATTCTACGTCAAAGTTACAAAGCACAATGTTATTTGCATGTTTTGTTGTTATGGGCAAAACTACACAACATGTTATCTGTACTCTACCTATTGCGGGTACCGATTTTTAGTATTATAATATAAACCCTCAGACTTGATGCTGAATTACCAGTGTGCGTACGATGTCATACTATCATGGGCACAATCACACTCTAACGCGAGTAAAGTATGCACACTGAACAGGAAGATCAGTAATATATTAGAACTGTAGTACTTTTAGGAACAATACTAACATAACAAGACATAACTAGATAAGTGTAGGTCTTATTATACGTTTATGGTCATAACAATGAGTAATATTATAATAATAATTTATATATATAGATATCATTACAACAAATAACTTTATTATTTAAACAAGTAGGTATTCATCAAATTATTAAACATAGTCTAACGATACAGCCTAATATTATAATCCTTAACTTTTTAAAGCTTAAGCCAAAGTCCTTCACACGTGACTAATCCCTTGACAACACGACTTGTAAATTAACACTTTGTTATAAATATAATATTAATTGAGTGGTCGTTGCATTCTTATACTATAGTGGAAGATCTCGTACCTAGGAAATACACACCACTAAACGTAAACACACGTGAACTCTACGCCGTTTGACCACCTTATTAGAAAACATAAATTTATAGGAAATTATCACTAAAACGTTTTATGTCATTTACATTAGTTTAAGATTACTGTTTGGAATAATATGAAGCAACGTTACTTAAATAAACGTGAATATTTAAGTGCACAATTTAAGTGTTCTGCCGCTGCATGTTATATTGTGAAATGTTTATTTTAAAGATTTAAAATACTTTGTAATAATGCAAGATATTTGTTCATTATTCAAGGTAAATTCGCTTTGCATTTTCGATAGACAGGCGTCACTGTTGTAATGTGTAAAAAATATACATGATCTTTTCTCTACGTTAAATACATGTTATTTAATTGTGAGCTTTAATTCAGTTCACTTGTATTTTCAGATAAAACTGATTTTCGCACAAGCATAAGATGTATCTGCTAATAAGAGCAGGCCAGGGTATACCAGGATATTTGTAGAGTAGTCTGTATTAAAAAACGTGACTGAGTTTTTTAGTTGGTTAAACAATGAGATTGGACAATTTTGAAGAAAGGAAAGGAAAAGCGTGCAGCGGCAATTATTGCGGCATTGGTATAGATTCAACCAAATTGCTAACAACTAGCTACCCACAAGTTTAGCTGCTGCGATGTAGCCACACTGATCTGTAGTGAAACGGTATTTTTTGTAGGCCCACCCATGGAGTACATGCAGCAGTCAGGTTCACCCATGGGGTATGTGCAACAACAAGGCCTGCCCATAGGGTACATGCCACTGAAACATCTACCCATGGGTCTAGCCAATGTCAATGCCTGTACTTTTGCTGAGCAACAAAAACAGCAGGGTTATAGGTTTCAGCCGTCAGATCAGCAGCTCCAAGATGACCACTAAAACGATAAACATTGTGGCAAGTCCTCGAAAATTTTGACGGAGCTCAAGTCATGCTTCACCATCAGTTACGGAAAGCAAATTGAACTATTTACAGCAAAGACTTTAGTGGACATCAATGCTCTGTCAGGGCTGGGTGGAGCTTGGTTATGTGTCGATAAGGGTACAAGGGAAAGAAGTTAGGTTCCTGGTAGACAGAGGAGCAGCATGGAACTTGGTGGACTGTGCAATCTTTGTGAGACCACTGATACAGCCAGTGGATACTGACTTTGTTCTGGTAAATGATAATACACTAGATATTAGAAGAGAGGTGGATTTCTGGCTCAGTCCGTGAGGTTTTGTTTACAAAACAAGATGTAGTTTCCAGCCTCGTATCTGGAATTGACATTCTTGAGATAGACCTACTGTGGAGTCTGTCTGTCAGTTTTTGCCTGTACAAAAGGTGAGTTGATGTTTTACAGAAAGTCATCCAATGCTGACCAGATCAAGCTTAGGAATAGTGGACTGCACAATTTTATGTACTGGAGAGAATGATAATACCTCCATGTACAAGACTGGTGTTCCATGGTTTAATCCAAGTGAAGTCCAATACAATATACACAGTGCCAAGCAACACCAGGGTTTTATCCCAAGTTGGTCATATGATCATCCAAGCAAATCCTGCTTCATTTCTGGACAAGGAATAGCTCATTTCATGTGTGGCTTTTATAACCATGAGATGATTGATTATCTAACTGGATGACTGATTGTTTATAGACACAATTAGTGAAGTGGAAGTAACTGATGCTAAGGAAATACTGGGGTTTTAGCCATCACACCATGGAAGAAAGCAAATGTGAGGTTGCTGACATACCTAAGGTCACTGGTTGAAATTGTGCTAACAATCTAGACTCATCACAACAAAAGCAACTCAGTGATTTGTTGAAGGAATATACAATGTATTTGTGGGACCAGATGATCAATTGAATCAAACAACAATGGTTCTGCTCCATATAGACACTGACATTGTGCATCTGATAAAGCAACCACCATGACAATTTCCATGGAGCACTAGGGAGTTCGCCAGCACTGAAATACAGCAGATTCTGCAGGGCAGAGTCATATAACCTTCAAAGGGTGTTTAGTCATCTTCAATAGTGATTATCAAGAAGAAGGAATGTATGCTAAGGTTATTTCTTGATTTTTAAAAGGGAGAACGTGGTAACTCACATTTCTACTTTCCATGACTGCAAACAGATGAATGTTTGAATACATTATGAAATTCCCATTGGCTCAACACACTGTATCTGACATCCAGGAGATGGCTTGTATGAATGATGCTTGTATGAATACCTTGTCATCTCATTCAGCCTGCATAATATACCAGCTACCTTTGAGGGGCTAATGGAGCTTACACTCAAGGAATTGCATTTGGATAGATGCCACTCTATGTCAATGATGTTTTGCTGTTTGGTCGAACTTTTGAGTCCATATTTAATACCTGGAATGCATATGAAAAGCAGGCTTGAAACTAAAATCAGGGAATATGTTTGCTCATGCAAACAGGGGTGTAGTTTCTAAATCATATTGTGAGCAAAGATGGAGTTTCGATGGACATGGATTGGATAGCAGCAGCGAGATAATGAAGTGAGAAGTTTGCAATTTATATGATTTTGAATTATATTACTTATGACCTATAGCCAGCTTGTTGAATATAACAACAACGTTGTTGGTACTAACGAAATTAGAAGTAAACTTTTTTAGATGGAGCAAGGAATGTGATCAAACATCTAAAGTTTGCTTTAGTGGATGCTCCACTGCTGGTCTATCCACTTCAAGACTGTGTTTTTCTTTGGACACCAACACCAGAGACAAAAGAGTCAAAGCAAGGTTATCACAATTGCAGGATGGGGTATAAGTGTATAATCATCTACGAAGATACTCGATAATGAAGAAATCGCTGCTTGCAATGATTGACTTTTTAAAGCGCAATTGCCACTAATTGTGTGGTAGCAAGTTCAGCATGTAGGAACTATGCTTCTCTGAAGTAGTTAGTAAACTTTAAAAATCCAGAGAGGATGATGGTATGTTGAATAATGATGTTGCAAGAGTATGACAGAAGATATTGTTTCAAATAGAGACTGTGTCAACTTGTGAAATGTCATGAACCTGTTTAAAGTATGATCATTTCTGCAGTAGAGGATGCTGACCATAAAGTTGAAGACTATTGTTGGTGGATGTATGCCAAAGTTAACACTTCAGGAGCTTTATGGTGAGCAGCTGAAGGTCCTTGACCTAGCATGAGTGCTCATTGCTGTCTAAGAAGGTCACGCCCAACTTTCACTTATAGAGGAGTGTAAAACGTATGCAGGTAACCACTTACATTTGTACAAGCACTGAAATAGCAAGGAGGTCTGTTGTACTGTTATTATCAACTCACGAATTTTGGTGCTCCAACATTATTACAACTAATATCCCTCAGAACTCTGTTGAAATAAATACTGTTGAGTTTGCATAACACAAAAGCTGGAGGTTAACAAGATATAACCCAAATTTCTCTAGCATTCAATGGCAGGTTTTCCAACCACTAGTGAATCAAACTGTTCGGTGCTGTACAGTATGACATTCAGAGGAAAAATTGGCTGAAACAAAATAAACTCCAATAGAAAATAATGAATGCCTCTGGTTTATTCTGGAGACTTACAAGAGGCCATTGATAAATACTCATTGGGATGAATACTTTCAGAAGTTTATCTATAGTCAATGTGCTGGCACAGACAATACTTGATGTGCTAGCCAAGAACTGGAGACAACTTCAACAACCAAATGTTCACTAAGTTATGTAAAGTGTTGGGTGATGTGATGAAGGAAACGATCTGTTAGATATGTGAATCAGCAACGAATGATTGGTGACTAACACATGGTTTAAGAAACCATATAGCCAAAGGTATACCTATAGGAATAGTAATGTGAGATCAGAGATAGATATGCTTATAGTGCAGAAAACACAATGGAAATGGGTGAAGAACTACAAAGTGATTTTTAGTGAAATGATAGCTTTGTAGTACAAGTTGGTAGTAATAATAACTGCACTGGAAAAGTGGAAAAAGACATACCTTGTTCAAATAAAATATGTATTAAAGGATGGAACTGAAGGAAGCATGTGCAAGAGAGAACAGTTTGCAGAAAGAAGGAAAAGAACCAGATAGGCCATTAAACAGCAGAAGAAGAGTGGGACTATTTGATGAAAGAATGATTAACTGTAGCAAAGAAGGTATGTGGGAGGGCAAAGTTTAGGAAGAGAAATTATAGGAAAGAATGATGGTGGAGCAATGTAGTATGTAAATGGTGAAACAGAAGAAAGAGGCAAGACGCGACATGAATTGCAACAGTCACTGAGAAGTGAGGAAGTGTATGCAAAAGTGAAAAGAAGGCAAGGAAAGCAGTGACTAATGCTAGACGAGGCATTGGATGAACTGTATAAGGAGTTGGAGAATGATATAGTCACAACTATGGAGAAAGTGTTTAAAATAGCTAAAAGCAGAAATCACTCAAAAGAGGATGAAATATTTTCACCATTTATAAAGACAAATATGAGAAATTGCAAGTAACCATAGAGGCAGCAAAGAAAAGATGGGAGGAATATTTCGATATGCTGTTGAACAAGAAAAATCCATTTGAAGTGCAATTACCAGACCATACACCAGATGTCAAAGCTGAGACATAAGTTTCCACTGAGGAAGTGAGGAAAGCAGTCCGTAAAGCAAAGGTGGGTAAGGCTGATAAACAAGATGAGGTTACAACAGATATGGTAAAGACACTTGGGGAATTAGGAGATTGCAGGGTGGCTAGAATGATCCAAGCAGTTTGAAATGAGAGGAAGATACCAGAGGCATTGATAGTTTCTATATTACTGCCCATTTTCAAGAAAAAAGCCAATATCTATGAATATGGAAATGACAGAGATGTAAAACTCTCAGCACACTGTATGAAATTGATGGAGAGAATCACTGATGGAAAACTGCAAAGGATATTCAAACCACAGCTACGGGAAGAGCAATTTGGTTTCCAAAACGGTAAAGGCACAGTTGATTCTTTATTTACTGTGAGGCAATTAAAAAAATGGAGTATCAATAGGAGAGTATGTGGGCTCTTCTGGATCTGGAAAAAATATATCACAACTTAACTAAAAGGTTGATCCCATCAGTACTGATTATTTGTCAGGACAAATAGTAGATGTGATCATGGCCATGTAAAGAGTATCAATGACAAGAGTAGAAAAGTGTTTTGGACT